AATGTTTGGAACATTATATTTACTCACACATTAATCGGCTATCCACTCACGTAAACTAGGGAGTGACCCTAACATTTTGAGAACATGTATTTTCTTAACAGGGATGTTATTATTTACTATTAATGTTAGTACTATTTTTACTATTATTATTATTATTTAATATATTGTAAAAAGTGATGGCTATTGCTGGTCTATGACCATAATAAAGTTTATTATTATTATTATCATCTGCTACATGTTATCAGCAGACACAATAATTGTGGGAAAATATTGCTGATTTGCCACCTTTATCCGCATGAGGTAATCTCTAACATGGGCTCTTACATGTGTCTGGTCAAACTCAAAAAAAAATAGTAAGAGAACACCTATCCACTTTAGATGAGTTCAAATCAATGGGACCAGATGGGTTATACCCCAAAGTTCTGAAGGAACTGGCAGAAATGATAGCAGAACCCTTGAACCATATCTTTAAAAGATCTTGGAGCACTGGGGAATTACCAAATGACTGGAAAGAGGCAGATGTAGTTCCCATCTTCAAAAAAGAAAAAAATTAGATACAGGAAACTATAGACCTATTAGCCTGACCTCAATACCTGCGAAAATTCTGGAAGAGATAATCAATCAATGAATCTGCAACTACCTAGAGCACAGGTGTCAAACTCGCCACGTCACGTGACATGTCGTGACGTATCGTGACTCTTTTTGCATTGCCGGCAATGGGGTGGGTGTGGCTTCAGTATGATGAAACTGGCCTGTGGGATGGGAGTTTGACACCCCTAACCTAGAGGAAAACAAAGTCATAACTAGAAGCCAACATGAATGTTTCAAAAATAGATCATGGCAGACAAATCTTATTGCTTTCTTTGACAAAGTGACAGAATTAGTGAACCAGAGGAATGCTGTGGATATAATTTACTTGAACTTCAGTAAGGCATTTGATAAAGTAGGCCACAACCTACTACTTGATGAGATAGAAAAATGTGGGTTAGACAGCATCACAATCATATGGATTTGTTGCTGGCTGACCAATAGCACTCAATGTGCAGTCCTCAATGTAACTGAATCTACATGGGGGGAAGTATGCAGTGGGGTACCCCATGGCTCTGTTTTGGGCCCAGTGCTCTTCAACATCTTCATCAATGATTTGGATGAAGGGATAGATGGGGAACTCATCAAATTTGCAGATGACACCAAGCTGGCAGGAATAGCCAACACTTCAGAAGATATAGAAGGATCTTGATAGACTTGAAAATTGGGACCTAGAAATAAGGAGAAACTAGGGGTCCTTGGAACTCTCTGAGCTTGCTTGATTTTTTGCAGATGTTTCATTAAATAAAAACTTCCTGAGAGTAAAAACAATTAACCAGTGGAATGGCTTGCCTCCAGAAATTGTGGGTGCTTCATCAGTGAAGATTTTAAAAAAGAAATTGGATAGTATTTGTCTGAAATGGTATAGGGTCTCCTGCTTGGGTGGGGGCTGGTCTGGAGGACCCCTGGCAACCTCCTCCAATTCTAGTATTCTGTTCCAATTCTGTTATTCTTTTATTCTTTCTCTGATCACATGTATCCATCCCATCAAGAAAGTCTGGACTGATATCTTGCTATAAGCATGGGATTGAACTAGAGGACCCTCATGGTCCCTTCAAACCCTATTATTCTATGTTCTACCCAATGATACAGTCCACGGGCTGTCACTTTCCTGCTTCTTAGTTATTCTTATTCAATATTGGATAAAAACTGATGGGTAATGAAATTTTACTTCAGGCACAAGGAATTTTAAAATCTTACAGAAAAGAAAATCATAAAATGATCCTACTCTTAACATTAGGGAGGGTTCAGAAATACTGTTTGCCTCCTTTGCATTAGAAGACAGGCAGAATTAGAGTTGTGTTATCAACACAGAATATAACCAAACTCCATAGATCTGGGTGACCTTCTTCAGCAATCTCTGGGGACAAGACACCACAATGAAGGACAGCAAAAGTCAATAACCTAGGTGTGTGGAACTATTTTCCTCCAGCATCCCTTTCTGTACATGTTCTGACAGAAAGAACCACAACAATCCCTGGGATGTATTTGTGACTTTTCACTTATTTGCTATTCTCCAGTTGACTTTCTGCACTTGGAGTCTGGGAAGAACTTCAGGATCCCCAGAGGAGAAGTTATTTCTCACTGTAATGATCACCATCCTCGTATTTGAGACACCTTCTGCCACAGTGACTGCCTTTGATGTTAACATCAGACTGAAGCAACAAGAAAGGGATCTTGCATCAGTAAAGGATAAATGCCATAGATCACACTCTATGTGACACAAGTTTTGGGACAGACAGAGATTGTGGTCTTGAAGGTACTTTTCTCTCCTTTCCAGTTAAAGATTGGTTTGTCTCTGTCAGAATCCAGAAAGCAAGAGAGCTTTGGATTGTTCTAATTCTTCCTCATTCTTTTTTAGAAACAGGAAGGGGATTGATTCAGCCCTATAAATTATCCTCCTCTGTTTCTGCTGCTGCTAGTGGTATCTCAGGCAGTCTCTGTGAAGCTTAGAATGAAATGCCCACTAAATTTTGAGAACCAGGATGGAAAAAAACCATGGAACTATTACACGCCAGGAGATCATTTCGTTGGTATAGTCACCACTGAAACAACATCATCACCTATAATGTTACCTTTCAATATGGCTCCTTCTAGTCCATCTCGCTCGTAAGTTATTTAGTGAGTTACATTCCTTCCATTTGCAGTTCATTTGCTTTCCTCTTTTGTCTTCTTTTGTGGAATAGACTCAGATCCAATCATGTGGCAAATAAAACCTGAAATAATTCAAGATTATTTATGCATTCCCGTCTAATACTATGTTCATCACTTGGATGCTGAGTTTGGTTTAAAGTAGTGATTGAAAGGGTTGCAGATGCCTCTGCCCAGCCCATTTCCATATTTAAATAACTAGTAATTGATATTCAATGCCTGATGCTTAGAGGAATAAAGGATGACTTCTTTTTACAGTTGCTTTTCTGGGTCACTTATGGAACATCCTCTTCTTTTTATGGTGATGTTTATATAGTTAGAGTTATATGGTTATACTTTAATGTTTGAATTTTGAATAAAAGTTATAGAGCAGATGAAAATTAGGACTTTTACAAATAATGGTGTATTTCTGATTCTTAACCGTGGTGGGGGACTATCTCCATCCCATCTTCTCAATACTCATAAAAATTACATGCTGATGGGTAGCTATAATTTGCCTTGGGCTTTGGATCTGTATTGGCTTAAGACACAGTAGACTTGTGGAGGCAAATATGATTTTTTTTTTTAAAAAAAAAGTTACTTCTGTTGATGATGATGGTAATAACATGATTTTCTTTTTACAGTAGGACAAATTATTTTAAACAGCTAATCCTGATGTTTGCCATTCAAATGGTCAACAAGACCCCCCAACCTCTGGGAAATCTCACACTTGGCTACAACATCCATGACAACTATGTCAGCACCCTTGGCACTTCAGATGCTTTGCTGGATATCCTTTCTACTGGACAAGCCAATGTTCCCAACTATAGCTGTGGAAGGAAGGAAAACCTTTTGGCTGTTGTTGATGGAGCTAAGAGGGACATCTCTATCCAGATGTCAACATTAATAGGCACCTACAAAGTCCCACAGGTTGGTTTGTGTATTTGTGCATCTGAAAAACTGAGTGGGATTGTGATGAATGAGTGATAAATGCACCATATTTTGTCTATGGAATTCAGAGTGCCAGGATTCCTGGAATTCTCTAGGGTTTTTGGATTTGGCTTGGTCTAGGATGGTCACAGTTTTCCTTTTGAAATTATAGTTAAATATGTCCCTTTGTTGTGAAATTATTGAGTTTTCATCATGTCTTCTGACTGCTAGCTGATGTTCTTGGATGTGATCTGCTAGTCTTCTGCCTGTTTGTCTTACATAGTGGCTGTTGCAGTCCTTACACTTTATGTTGTAGATGAGTCCTGTTTTTTTTTCCTTCTGGGACTGTTGGGTCTTTTGGTTTGCTCAGGATGTTTTGGAAGGTTTAGTTGGTTTGTGCACTACAGTAATGCCATGTGCCTGTAACAGTCTGTTTTTGATACAGGAAATGTTATCCTTTTCACAGATTGTGCTGGTAGTGCTACATTAGGTTAGGTGATCAGGCACTTTTTGATGAAGTTGCGTGGATATCCATTTTGTTGAAAGATGTTATATAGGTGATCTGTTTCCTTTTTCTGATGTTCAGGATAGTATTTACTCAAGCAATATTTGAACAGTTAGTTATGGAAACAACAGTTGAGCAATGGTTACTAATGTAAGACTTAACCAAATCCCTTAGACTGAAGATGTTTGCATTTGCAGAGCTCCAGAGATAGAAGAAATCACATATCTAATATTCCAATGTCAATTGCATAAAGAAGAGGGAGCTAAGAATCTTGGACTGTAAAACAGTCCAATGACCTATTGTGATCTTTATTGTAAAAAGTATATATATTTCTTGTGTGGTCAGAACTCAAAAACAACATATAATAGAGTATTTGTTTGAACAATAAAGTTTAGTTGAGATGTGCATATGTGGCTATTATTGTGGTAAACTGGAAAAGTGTATCAGAAATATAATTTGCGTTCTTTATTCTTATTCCTTTTAATATAAGTTGTTTTTTATTTTATTTTTATGTATAGTCTTGTTAAAGTTCTGTACTTCATGTTGTGCATCATAGCATTCTTCATTGCTTTTTCAGATCAGTGACGAAACTGTTTCAGAAGCTCTGAATGATAAAAGTCAATTCCCTTTTTTCCACCGGATACTCCCCCAAAAAAGGATCACATATCCAGCAATTGTGCAACTGCTCCTCCATTTCAGATGGACCTTGATTGGGCTCTTTACTTCAGACACAGAGGAGGGAGAAACTTTCATGAGGACTTTTACTCCTATGCTTGTCAGGAATGGAATTTGTGTTGTTATATCACGACGATTCTCAGCGATTGGACATACAGCACCCCTCATGGATGCCATCTCTAAGTGGAGACAAGTCAATGTCTTTGTGAATTATATAGAAACTCTTAACATTTGGGACAGAATTCAGACTTTGCAGTTAACTTTTGAAAGTATTCCAGGAACCATTGAAGGGAAAGTTTGGATACTAGAAAGCATCGAACATTTGGTACTAGGACGGGAGAACCTTTACAAATATGTCCATAGTATTTGGAGCTTTGCTTTTCAGTGGAAAAAAGGGCTGAAAGAAGATCCTTTTGAAACCAAACTCTATGTGCAATTGGAAGATCGGTATTTTCACTGTTCTTTTTCAAAGCACATTTTTTCTGTCAAAGGTCGGAAAAGATGCACCCAGAAAGCCCCACTGGAGCCTGAAGAGGAATGGAGGAGGACATGGATCTCGTTTCATCTTCATTTGCACAGTGTTATTAAGACTCTGGCCCACGTCTTGAAAGCGGCATATTCTTCCAGATCCAGGAGGAGAAGCCAGAAGGGCGAAGAGAGGTTGGGGGTTCCAAGGCTGCAGCCATGGCAGGTATGGAGTCCCTACCAGGATCCATAAAACTCCAAGGGAGAGGGAGAGGAAACTTCTCAACCTCCTTCTGCTACAAAAGGCCAACAAGTTGGTCAATCTAATCACTCAGGGAATAAAGTTGTGGGGATGGAAGACCAGAGGCTTTGGTTGATCTCTGGCAAGACCAAATGGCTTTAGCTGCATGGATCTTCAGGCTCTGGAAATTTAACATCTTTAGTTCTAGATGGATTTGCACTACCCCTGAAAGACCTGGTCCACAATTTTGGGGTTCTCCTGAAATCTTAAGTCCTGTTCAAAGAATAGGTGGCAGTCACATCTATGATGGTCTTTATACAACTTTGTGTTGTGTGCCAGTTGCACCCTTTGCTGGATCAAGAGTCCCCGTGTTCAATTACTCAAGTCCTAGACATCTCCTGCTTGGACTATTGCAATGCATTCTATATGGGGCTATCCTTGAAGAGCATTTGGAAGCTACAACTGGGGCAGAATGCAGTACTATGGGTAGTTCCTGGTGTCCCTAGTGATACCTTAGTTACATCACTGCTCTGCAAGAGGCACTGGCTACTTTTTTTTTGCTTCTCGGGGCAATTCAAGTTGTTAGTCATCACCTTTAGAGCCCTGCATGACATGGTCCAGGCTGTCTGAGGAACCATCTCACCCCAATGGGATGGCACAGTATGCCATCAGAAGGGGCATCCCATGAGCCCCATCAGTCTTGGCATTTTCTGCCATGGCTCCTGCTCTTTGGAAAATTTTTCCCCCTGAGGTGAGATATATATCCACCCTTCAGACTTTCTCCAAGGGCTTGAACGTCTGATTCAGCCAGGTGGCTTGTGGCCCTCGTTGGTGGGGGAGGGTGTCACACTGGAGGTAGTTGATGGATTAGAGAAGATCCCATCTCTCCCATTGCACATCTTGCCACTTCCCCTCCAGCCCCCTTTTACACAATCCTACATGACTGTGGTGTGGATGAGAGGCTCAGACAGCGGGGTGCTACTTTCCTCTGGGGAGGTGTCCTGGCTCTCCTGTCCCCCGTAACCAGACCCCTTCACCTTCCCCCCAGCCAGGACCTGCTGACCCCCCCCACCCTCCTGCACCCACCTCATTCTGAGACTCCTGCCCCCCCAGCTGGGACCTCCAGCAATTCCGCAACTGGGAGCTCCTGCCCCCCCCACTGGGTCCTCCTGCCCCCACCCCAGCCAACCCCCCAAGCAGCTCACTCTGACCAAGGCACAGGGAAGGCAAGGCAGAGAACTGATTGTTAAATTATTTGAAACCCATCACTGACTGGAGGTGGTTGATGGATTACTCTTCCACTGTGCATCTTGCTCCTTTCCTGTTCATCCTTTTAATTGTAATTTTTATTGTGATTAGAAACATTTAATATTTATGGTTTATTGCCTTTAATGTTGCATGATGCTTAGAGTCACCTCAGGGTGAGATGGGTGGCAAACAAATCGAAAGAAAGAAAGAAAGAAAGAAAGAAAGAAAGAAAGAAAGAAAGAAAGAAAGAAAGAAAGAAAGAAAGAAAGAAAGAAAGAAAGAAAGAAAGAAAGAGTTTCAAAGAATGGGCACTATGACTCACATATTGATGTTAAAACTGCTAATTTTAAAATGATGTATACTGCTCACAAAAATAAAGAGAACGCAAACCCCTTCAGTTCCATGGTAAAATGTTCCCTTTATTTTTTTGAGCAGTATATTATTTTTAAATAATTTGCTTTATGTAGGGTATTATGAGTAACAGTGTAGAATTTTACATTCATAAGTTTGAAGGACACTATGAGGTCATATAGCTCAACATTCTCTTCCTTCAGGGGTTCGAATTAATGTGTCTTGGACATAGAACACAAAATATAGAATCAGATGATGATGATGATGATGATGATGATGATGATGATGATGATGATGATGATGATGATGATAATAATAATAATAATAATAATAATAATAATAATAATAATAATAATAATAATAATAATAATAATAATAATAATGTTGGAAGGGACCTTGGAGGTCATCTAGTCCAACCCCTGCTCAGGCAGGAAATCCTATACCATTTCAGACAAATGGCTGTCCAGTCTCTTCTTAAAAACTTCCAGTGTTGGAGTATTCACCACTTCTGGAGGCAGGTTGTTCCACTGGTTAATTGTTCTAACTGTCAGGAAGTTTCTCCTTAGTTCTAGGTTGTTTCTCTCCTTGATCAGTTTCCACCCGTTGCTTCTTGTCCTGCCTTCAGGCGCTTTGGAAAATAGCTTGACTCCCTCTTCTTTGTGGCAGCCCCTGAGATATTGGAACACTGCTATCATGTCCCCCCTCGTCCTTCTCTTCACTAAACTAGACATACCCAATTCCATCAACCTTTCCTTATATGCTTTAGCCTCCAGTCCCCTAATCATCTTTGTTGCTCTTCTCTGCACTCTTTCTAGAGTCTCAACATCTTTTTTACATCATGGTGACCAAAACTGGATGCAGTATTCCAAGTGTGGCCTTACCAAGGTATTGTAAAGTGGTATTAATACTCACGTGATCTTGATTCTATCCCTCTGTTAATGCAGCCCAGCATTGTGTTGGCCTTTTTGGCAGCTGCAGCACACTGCTGGCTCATATTTAAGTGATTGTCCACTAGGACTCCGAGAGCCCTCTCACAGTTACTACTATTGAGCAAGGTACCCCCTATATTATACCTGTACATTTGGTTTTTCTTGCCTAAATGTAGAACCTTACTTTTTTCACCATTGAATTTCATTTTGTTAGATAGTGCCCAGTGTTCAAGTCTGTCCAGATCCTCCTGTATCCTAAGCCTGTCTTCTGGAGTGTTGGCTATTCCTGCCATCTTGGTATCATCTGCAAATTTGATGATTTCTCCATCTATCCCCTCATCCAAATCGTTGATGAAGATGTTGAAGAGCACTGGGCCCAGAACAGAGCCCTGGGGCACCCCACTACACACTTCCCTCCATGTAGATGGAAGGGACCTTGAGGTCTTCTAGTCCAACCCCCTGCTCAAGCAGCAGACCCTATATCATTTCAGACAAATGGTTGTCCAATCTCTTTTTGAAAGCCTTCATTGATGGAGCATCCACAACTTCTGAAGGCAAGCTATTTCATTGGTTGATTGCTCTCACTATTAGAAAATTTCTCCTTAATTCTAGGTTGTTTCTCTCCTTTGTTAGTTTCAATCATTGCTTCTTGTCTTGCTTTTTGGTTTTTTGGATGCCTTCTCAGTTGTTGCATTAAGACAATCAATGAAGGGGAGACTGGCCTTTCCTGGTTCACTGGCTCAGCTCTAAAAGTTCTACTCCTTTTAAGATTTTTCCTCTTATTCATCCGCAATCTCTTCTGTTGTAACTTAGTTTATTTTTTTCATTTATGATGCTCTGGAATAACAGTGAACAGATTTTAAGCTTCTGTGTAACATATTTTAGTTACTGGAAGAGTAACTCTTTCATTAACTAAGAGGTTTTATAATTGTTAGAGGAATCTTGGAGTCCTAGTAGACAATCACTTAAATATGAACCAGCAGTGTGTGGTAGCAGCAAAAAAAGCCAACATAATCCTAGGTTGTATTAACAGAGGGATAGAATCAAGATCATGTGAAGCAGGGGTCTTCAAACCTGGCCCTTTTATGACTTGTGGACTTCAACACCCAGAATTCCTCAGCCAGCGTGCCTGGCTGAGGAATTCTAGGAGTTGAAGTCCAAAAGTCATAAAAGGGCCACGTTTGAAGACCCCTGATGTGAAATATTAGTACAATTTTATAAAGCCTTAGTAAGACCACACTTAGAATACTTCATTCAGTTTTGGTCACCAGATTATAAAAAAGATGCAGAGACTTTGAAGAAAAAGAGCAACAAAGATGATAAGGGGACTGGAGCCTAAAACTTATGAAGAACAGTTACAGGAATTGGGTATGCTTACTTTAATAAAAAGAAGGACTAGGGGAGACATGATTGCAGTGTTCCAATATTTGAGGTGCTGCCGCAAAGAAGATGGAATCAAAATATTCTCCAAAGCACCTGAAGGCAGGATAAGAAGCAATGAATAGAAAATAATCAAAGAGAGAAGCAACCTAGAACTAAGGAGAAATTTCCTGACACTTAGAACAATTAATCAGTGGAACAACCTGCTGCAGAAGTTGTAGATGCTCCATCTATGGAGATTTTTAAGAAGAGATTGGACAGCCATTTGTCCACAATGGTACAGGGTCTCCTGCTTGAGCAGAGGGTTGGACTAGAAGACCTCCATGCTCCCTTCCAACTCTGTTATTCAATTCTGTTAAGTGTCTCTTTTTCATTTTCTGAAATGTACCCTTACAATAATGTAAAATTAGCTCATGTGATCATGTTTCCCATCTGGTCTACTTGGGAGAAGATTAGCCTGGCTACTTTCTTCTTGAGAACTCTATGCTTTCTCCCCCCCCCCCCCAAGGCATTTATGAATAATCTCATTGTTTGATTCTTTGTTCAAATTATTTTTGATATGTTCTAATATTTTCCCTTTAATAGACAAATTTGGTCAATTATATTTTGTCAATGCATATTTTTTTCAATATATGATTGATCAATTTATGTGAGTTACAAGTAATAACACTACAAGAGAATCGACGATATAAATGATCAAACTGTTGACATCTACTTTCAAAGTCTACACTTTTCTGATGGACCCTATTCTTTGGTTCAAAAGACGAAAATTTTAAGGACCTACAAAGACAAGATCAAGGTAGGTAAAGACCTCTTCTTATTCAAAAGGTTAAAAAGGGTAACCTTTAACATGAACCTGGTTTTACCTCTTGTAGCAGCAGATCTGAATGTCATAAACTGGGTGTTTATTCCCTGGTTTGATCCCATCGATGAACAACTGGGGAGTTTTGAAAGGCAGAGATTTACAGTCAATAAAGATACTCTGTCATCGCTAAAGTTGCTCAACAAGGTGGGAGAAATATTGGTGTCCATTCTCTATCTCCAAAAGCCTAAGCACCCATTTCAAGTTGGTATAGCCTAATTAACTAGGTGGTTGATCTTCACTGAGAATTGAATGTGGAGAGTAGAAATCTAACAGGTTTCTTTTATACTGCTTGGAAGGCAGGTATCCTTTACATGCTAAAATATGGAATATTGCTTTAAGCTGATTTTGCACTGTCCAACATAAGATGCTGGGTAACAAATTTTCAGGACACAGATCATGGTCCTTTTGTGCATCCTATACAATCTGGTATTTCCATAAAACTGATGAGAAAGGCCCTCAAATGCTGATGATTGTGGTACTGGTAGATTCAATTTTGCTTGTTCTTTGTTCTAAAATAGCAAAGGAGAAGGCAATTCTGTTAAATAGTTCCCAAGTTTAGGTTTTGACTGAATCAAATGAAATTGAAACAAGATAACCCCTGGGATTCAGATTGTCTTGGCTGGGCACAGTGTCCCTTGAAAGAGAAGGTCCACAGTCAGCAATGTTTTTAAGCAGGCCACATGTGGCCAGAATTATCCATGGTTTCCTTTCACCCCATTGGGATAGAGCAATAGACTTCCTGGTCGTTGGGAGGAAGTCTAAGGCATTCTGTTCACCTGAAATCACAATGATTGGTCTGATGTGAGATAATGCCTGGACCCCAGAAAACTGGAGCACTGAAAACATGATTTTGATCCAAAGAAGTATTAGCCACTCCTAATATTGGAAGTAATAAGGGACAATTTGAAAGAAATGTTACCTAGATTTGGGTTTTGGCTTGTAGGAGGGCATTCAATCGGATAACCCGCAAATGATATTGTTTATCATGATTGTTTCCTACATTAAGTCTTGCTGAGCAGAAATGAGGCTCCAAATTTACCTAATAATAAATGTGGGTCTGTCTTTCCATGCCATTTGGTGTCACCTAACTGTAGTTCTTCAACACAAAGGGCCTTTTCTTAGATATCTAGCTGGGCCTTAGAAATAACTTTTTCCAACAAAAGGCTTATGTTCATCTCCTGCAAGCAAGAGTTGCTTGACATTTGAGGGACATGTTCTCATGACCTTACCTCTATGTCATCTAACTACAGTTTAGATATTAGGCACTTGTTTGTAATCTCATATAACTAAGATGGCAGCCATATCAGTTAAAGAAAAATATACAAATAAGCAAAGTCCCTCTACCTTTAAGGTTGACACCTCTAATTGTAAGGACCTTTTCTTATGTATCTTAACCAGGAGACTATTTTACACTACTTTCAAAGGGGAGCAGCTTTTTAATGTTTTATGTAGTCTTGAAGAACCCTTTACACATCCTACCAGTGATAAGCTTCTTTCAACATCACAGTTTTATTCTTTTTTCATAAGTCTAATAGAATAAAACTTTAGTAAATCTTTTAGAATAATTTTGATTCTATAATTTAACACAAATACATCATCATACTTTAAAATCATGGATATATGAAGATCGGAGGAATAAATTTTAATACAACCATGAGAAGAAAACCACTGATTGTCACTTAATGCTTAAATCTTTTCTGAATTCCATCCCTCCTAACATTATTAAGTAGAAAAATCTTTTATTTCAATGAGATATTCCAAAACCAAAAGAGATGGACTAAATGAAGAATCTGCCAGTAGTTGTATCTCCCGCAACTATTTGGAACTAGTTAGAGAGTTCACACTTGCCTAAATGAAGTCCAGAGACTCTTTGGCTAATATTCATTTTGACCTTTATTTTCCATGGATGGTGAGTCCTAACATATTTTTTGGCATTGCTGGTTTTTCTACTTAGTCTCTGCCTCAGTCCAAATGTGTGGAAAATTGTCATCCTGGATTTGTCAAGCAGGCTCAGGAAGGAGAGCCAGTTTGCTGCTACAACTGCATTCCTTGTCCAGAGGGGACCATCTCCAGTCAAGAAGGTGGGTGACACCAAAATAAAACGGCAGGCCTTGTAGAAGTGAATTCATCCAAAGCATTTTCATGAAAATGCGATTTAAAAGACAAATTGAAGCTCAACTGTTTTCTTGTTCATCTTCTAACTGCTCAATTTATTATCTAAGGGGAGGAATAGCAAAAAGGACTTGAAAGAGGATTTAATTAGAGGCAGTAAAGTTTCCCAGATTGGACAAGCTTTACTACTGGCAGTTTTTTAATTTGGGTTTATCTGTTGAACAGAACAGAACAACGGAGTTAGAAGGGATCTTAGAGGTTTTCTACTCCAATCCCCTGCTCAATAATAATAATAATAATAATAATAATAATAATAATAATAATAATAATAATAATAATAATAATAATAATAATAATAACAACAACAACAACAACAACAACAACAATAATAATAATAATAATAAAGTTGGAAGGGACCTTGGAGGTCATCTAGTCCAAACCCCTGCTCAGGCAGGAAACCCTATACCATTTTGGACAAATGGCTGTCTAGTCTCTTCTTAAAAACTTCCAGTGTTGGAGCATTCACCACTTCTGGGGGCAGGTTGTTCCACTGGTTAATTGTTCTAACTGTCAGGAAGTTTCTCCTTAGTTCTAGGTTGCTTCTCTCTTTGGTTAGTTTCCATCCATTGCTTCTCGTCCTGCCTTCAGGCGCTTTGGAAAATAGCTTGACTCCCTCTTCTTTGTGGCAGCCCCTGAGATATTGGAACACTGCTATCATGTACCCCCTCATCCTCTTCATTAAACTAGACATACCTAATTCCAGCAACCATTCCTTATATGTTTTAGCCTCCAGTCCCCTAATCATCTTTGTTGCTCTTCTCTGTACTCTTTCTAGACTCTCAACATCTTTTTTACATCATGGTTACCAAAACTGGAGGCAGTATTCCAAGTGTGGCCTTATGGTGGTTCTGCACATTAAACATGAAATCCTTCTGTTCCTAAGATTTGCCCAAATTCCATAGATTTTAGCTATATATTTATATATTAGAAGGTATTCTTATTAATTTTATTCTGAAGACATGTTAAAACATGCATTTGGAAAAATGTTTCCGGTACCAGCTGTTGTCCCAAAAAGATACTTCTTTAAATGTGAATGGAGAGTTTGTTAAAAAAATAATCCTTTTCATATTCTCAGATACAGAAAAATGCACCAAGTGTCCACCTGATCAATATCCAAATGAGGACCGAGTCCAATGTATCCCCAAAATTATAGTCTTTCTGTCTTATGAAGAAAATCTGGGCATAATCCTGGTCTCCTTTGTACTACTCTTGTTCTTATCCACAGTCCTTGTTTTAATTATATTCATTAAATATCGAGAAACTCCCATTGTCAAAGCCAACAACCGGGACCTCTCTTACATCCTTGTGGTCTCCCTCCTGCTTTGCTTCTTGTCTCCTTTGCTCTTCATTGGTCAACGAAGGAAAGCCACCTGCCTTCTCCGACAAGCAGTGTTCAGCATCGTCTTCTCAGTTGCCATTTCTTCTCTCTTGGCCAAAACAATCACAGTAGTGCTGGCTTTCCTGGCCACAAAACCAGGAAACCGAGTGAAGAGATGGTTGGGGAAGAGCTTGGCCAACTCCATCATCCTTTCTTGTTCTGCTGTCCAAATTGTCATCTGTTCCATCTGGCTGGGGTTTTCTCCCCCTTTCCCCGACTCTGACCTCCACTCCCAGTCTGGAGAAATCATCCTGCAATGTAATGAAGGCTATGTTGTCATGTTCTACATCACCCTCAGCTACATGGGAATCCTGGCTGGCATCTGCTTTACAGTGGCTTTCCTGGCCAGAAATCTCCCTGGGGCCTTCAACGAAGCCAAACTGATCACCTTCAGCCTGCTTGTCTTTTGCAGTGTCTGGGTGACTTTTGTGCCCACTTACCTGAGCACCAAAGGGAAATACATGGTAGCTGTTCAGGTCTTCTCCATCTTGGCCTCTAGTGCTGGTCTGCTGGGCTGCATCTTCATCCCCAAGTGNCTTTCCTGGCCAGAAATCTCCCTGGGGCCTTCAACGAAGCCAAACTGATCACCTTCAGCCTGCTTGTCTTTTGCAGTGTCTGGGTGACTTTTGTGCCCACTTACCTGAGCACCAAAGGGAAATACATGGTAGCTGTTCAGGTCTTCTCCATCTTGGCCTCTAGTGCTGGTCTGCTGGGCTGCATCTTCATCCCCAAGTGCTACATTATAATCCTAAGGCCAGACTTGAATACAAAGGAGCATCTTATGACCAGAAGAAATATAGAAATGTGAGACAGAGGAATTTTTAGTCTCAATACTTTCTATCATTCCACACCTAGAAGATGATCCAAGTTCCTCTCCATACATAAGAGGGCCAACAATTTTGCTTGAAATAATTAAAGGGTGCTTAGAAGATAATGTCTCCAATCTTTTACTTTAAAATTCCAAAATGCCCACTGAGCTTTTTTGAATTCCCAAGGCAGCTTATTTGTCTAATGCCCTTAGCCTATTGAGGCCTGTGATGCCACATCCGGCTTTTTGAAACATAACACTTGTGCAATAGGAATCTTGTTGATATCCCAGAAATATATAGGGGAGGGGCTCTATCCATTCTATTATTTTAGTTGTGGTTTTTATGGACAATATTCTTTCAATCCCCTTCTGGGAGAGAGCCTGAGGCATCTTTTTGCAGCCATCTTGTTCAGCCCCAAAATGCTTTTTCATGAGGCAACTGGACTTTCTTGTTTGTTTGTTTGTTTTTTGAAGATGTTTTGCTTCTCATCCAAGAAGCTTCTTCAGCTCTGACTGGATGGTGGGGAATGGAAAGATTTCTATTCCTTGCAGACAGCTGGTCATTTGCATTCTTTTAGCGAGTCGTTAAAGCTACCTGGAGGCTTATCTGTGTCTTCAGGGTCACCTGAGTGGTACAAATGGGTGTGGAGCCTTCTTGGACCTGTTGAAAGGACTGCTCTCCTGACGTTAATGAAGCCATGTTAAAAGTGCTAATATCCCCTTTTAAAATCTAATCGAAGCTGAAAATTCCAGGCAATGCTTATATAGAGATATTATAAGAATTATAGATCAATTTTCCTATTAAATGGTGATTAGAAACTGTTTACATTAGTTTTGTCTAATAGATTAAAAATATTTTTCAAGAGTTTATTCATGAAGACCAATGTCTACATAAAAGACAAAAGACAATTGGAGAATTGAATTGGATGTAATAGAATATTTATAACAACATCATGAAAAACAAGCTGCGTTAATTTTCTTAGATGCAGAGAAAGCTTTTGATAATTCTCATTTGAAGTCTGGAAGATATGGAGAGAATTTTATTCAAGGAATTAAATCAATATATACACTTCAGAATTATGGTTAATGGTGATCTAATTAAACCATAGGATATCCAGAAGGGGACAAGACAAGGGGGCCCTTTGTCCCCTATGTATTCCCCTACTTTGGCTCTTGAGGTTTTGGCTTGTCATCGCCCAGGAGAAAGGAGAGTAGAAGGGAGGTTTCATTAGGTTGGTTGCCTAGCAACAGAGTCAAGATTCCGATCAGTGACAGTTGGCTGTGGAAACATTACTATATGGACAGAGTTGGAAAGATTCAGCACTACACAACACGGAGAAATGGTGAATGAAATTAATAGAACTTGTTGAGATGAACAAACTCACCTTTTTCATTAGAGAAAAAGCAAAATCTACAATTACTGGTAATTGCAACAACTTATGGGCTTTTGTGTAAAAAGTCCACAAAAGTGAACCTGAAATTCATGGTTTTAATGATTAAATAGGATAGATTATAGAAAAAAGAAAGTCACAATATAAATTGAGACAAAGAGTTTAAAATATTTCTCTTATTCTTTTTTTGTTTTCTCTGTTCTAATTTAGTTTAAATTAGACTTTACTAGGAGAGCATCCACCAGCCATTGGAAAGTCCACTCTACCCAAGAGATCAACCATGATCTATAGGTCGTCCCCAATCTACACCTGACCAGAGTTACAACTTTCATGCCAATTATTTGGACCCAAGAATAACTTGCAATTCTGTGCTGGACCTGCTTTCAGCTTAGAAGGCCAATGTTGCTAACCATAGTTGTGGAAGGAGAAGGATCTTTCATTGTTCTTAAAGTTACTAAGACTAGCATCTCCTCTCAGATTGCCACCATGTTGGCCTCCTAAAAAATCTAAGAAATATATGTATAATGTTCTGTAGCTTACTTCCCATGCTGTAGCAGTCAGCTGGAAGAAGTGTGATGTCTGAGCAGAATAAAGAGATAAGGACTCCCTATGCCAAAGTTTCTATCTCCAAGAAGAGAAATCACTTGCTTCTTCAGCCACCATGTTTAGAAGAATTTTATTTTTCTATTTCTGTGAAAAAAGCAGCTCAAATTATTGCATACTGTTAATGTCATCTTCTCATTATTTTTCAGATAAAGAGAGAGAGAGATACTCTTTTAAGAGTATTCTAAATGCAAAAAGGGGGGAGTTATGTGCAAAACCAAAACAAACCAAAACAAGTTTGTGTGTGCTTTTTAAGGAGCATCAACATAGCAATTAATAATCCTGACCTTTTGGGGAAAGACATACCAAAAGTTAATATTTATTTTATTTTGACATCAAATGTTCTTTCGTATTCAGATCAGGTCTTAAAAAAATAATGTAACACTTGGGGATGAAGATGCAGCACAGCAGGCCAACACTGGAAGCCAAGATTGAGAAGACCTGCACAGCCACCATGTACTTCCCCTTGGTGCTCAAGTAAGTGGGTACAAAGGATATCCAGACACTGCAGAAGACCAGCATGCTGAAGGTGATGAGCTTGGCTTCGTTGAAGGCCCCAGGAAGATTTCTGGCCAGGAAAGCCACCATGAAGCAGATGAGAGCCAGGAAGGCCATATAGCCAAGGGCAAAGTACAACATGGCAACAGAGCCTTGATTACATTGCAGGATGATCTCTGCAGATTGTGAATACATATCCGATTCAAGGAATGGGGGAGAGGTGCCCAACCAGATGCTACAGAGGACAACTTGGACACCAGAACAAGAAAGGATGATGGAGTTGGCCAGGCTCTTCCCCAGAAATCTTTGTACTTTATTCCCTGGTTTTGTGGCCAAAAATGTGATCACCACTGTGACTGTTTTGGCCAAGACAGTAGAAGTGGCAACTGAGAAGATGTTGCTGAATGCTGCTTGTTGCAATAGGCAAGTGGCTCTCCTTGGCTGACCAATGAATAGGAATGAGGTCAAGAAGGAGAGCAGGAGGGAGATGAGGAGGATGTAGGAGAGATCCCGATTGTTGGCTTTGACTATGGGAGTTTCTTGGAATTTAATGAAGATTCCCAAAACTAATCCTGTTACCAAAGACAGGAACAAGGCAAAAGAAGCTAGGACAATCCCCAAATTTTCTTGATAGGATAGGAATGTTTTGATTTTAGGTATACACTCATCTCTATTGAGGTTTGGATATTGATCATCTGGGCATTTGGTGCATTTTTCAGCATCTGGAAAGGACAAGAGCAACATCTTCCATAAAGCACAGTCTTTCATCTGATGCATAATTGGAGTGAAATAGGTAATGATGTGGATGAATGTGCATGGAGAAAGATATTATACAGAAATTGTTAGGAATTTTAAATAGTGTGACAAAGAAGAACAAGTGCAAAAGTAAAAGAGAACTTCTGTTACACATTCACAGGAGGAACAGTGTCTGTTTTTAGAGGCGATATTAGTTGCATCCCATATTGCAAGAACCACCTTTTAAAGATGAAATCCAAAGCATCTGCAGCTCTTCCACCAATGACCCCAGGAGGGATGGGCATTGGGACCCACTATACTGCACTAGCTCTAGCACAAGAAGGAATAAAAGGTTGTACTCAAGGCTGCAGCTCTGAAACTTTTCAGAAGGAAGATATTTCTCAATTAACTCAGCTGCTGGTCTTCATGTTTAAGTTGGTGGTTAGTTAAGATGTTTTAATAAATTCACCTTTGCCAATGTCAATTCCACCCTCTTGTTTTGATCAAGGAGATGGCCAGGTCTTCAGTCTGGATAGCAGTTCTCCTCACTGATCAATTCCCCTATTTCATTATCCTCCCGCCCATGCACCAATGGCTTCTGCCACCTTTGTGTATCTCCTGAGTGCTGATGAGAAATAACTACCCTCAGCTTTTCCTCTGATTTCAGCAAGAAGTGGAAACAACTTTAAGTTTCAAGCACTTGAAAAAGAGAGCTTTTNATATAAAATATAGTAAATACAAAATATAGTATATTATATAAATTATATGTTGCATGTAGGTGTGTATGTCTATGTGTATGTACATGTGTTTATTTGTGTGTGTGTGTGTTGCATGGATCAGAAGGAGACACTGAGAAGATATCTACAGACCCCTCACATCCTGGACACAAACTGTTTCAATTCCTTCCCTCAGGATGGGGCTATAGGGTGTTATATGCCAAGACAACTAGATACAGGGACAGGATTTTTTTCCCCTCATGCCATCATTCTGCTGAACACCTAATTCTCACAGATCTGTCTAATGTATATGTATATCAACCCACAGAGTACAGTTGTAGTATTATTATTTTCCCCCTTTGTTATCTTCTTTGCTTCTCTTCAAATTCCTTCTGTTTCTGATTATGTTTGGCCAAATAAAGTATTCAGTTCTCTCTATTTATAGTTTTTAAAAGCCAGACTTAAAAATGTATACCAAGACTCCACATTATAAAAGATGTCAGAGACTCTTTCCAAAAGTCTATTCCTTTCCTCTGGTGTCACCCACCTTCCATGGTGGAGATGGTTCCTTCTGCACAAGGATGACAGTCGTAGCAGCAGATGGGTCTCCCTTCCTGAGGCACTTTCATGAATCCAGGATGACATGTTTCCACACACCTGGAAGGAGGCAGGGCCTGAAGAGAGAGAGAGAGAGGAAAAATGCCCCCAAAATGAACTTAGTTTCAGAAACATGGCAAAGCAAGAAGGGTAAAGATTTTGGTTTCACTAACTAGATGCCAAGAGGAAATGTGAGATTCATTAGATTGAACAGCATATTCCTTCTTTCTTTCTCTTCCCTTATAAAATTTCATATGCACTATAAATGTAGACATTAATTTTAAATTTAGATATTAATCTGATCCAGAAAATGTTGGGTGGATTCTATGTTTTGGCTAAGTAACCATATTATTTGCATGCCTGGCTGATTTTACGTCCCTTTTCATAGACTCAATGAATATTTCCTATGAAAACTGAAGACTGTATCATTTGAGGCAGCCTGTACAGCTGGTAAAGAATA